ACTGGTCGTAAGTCACTTCAGTGCCATTGTGACTTCGAACAGTCACTAAAGAAATGGCTGTAAATCAAGAACTACCTGTATAATGCCACAAGTTCCATAATATTCAAGAAATCACATTATAACTTAGCAATGATACATGAACCCAACTCAGTCTGAGCCCAACAGCAACATGTTTTCAGCATTTAAAAATGAAGATTTTGTACAGGAATATGGAGAAATAAATGCAGATACTACCATATAACGATGAAGCTTATAGTGATCCTGAAAACAGCAGTATCAGACTTACCTGGGTTAAACCTGGGTATCCACAGATGGTTCCATGGCAACAAACAAAGTTAGATACTAAGAGTCAACTGTTTCGTTTCAAAGAAGTATCTTTAAGCAATTGATAAAATTGTCACATTTATGTGCAATGATCTCCTAAACATTTCTCAAAAAAACATAATACTCCATGTGAAGAGCATAATTGGTGCAAAATAGAAATGGTACTTTATATCTTTCCTCTCTTTTTATAAGGAATGGGATTGGAAAGAGGAAATAGACCAGAACACTTGATTAAGGAGACCATAAGAGGCAGACATACCATTAAGTCTCTCTTCTGAAGCCATACGGTGATACATTAGGCATCAAACGTGAAGGACAAATTGCTCTCACATACAATGTGTCAATTCATTGAAAACAATATTTAAAGCATAATGTATTTTTTTAAAAAAAAGAAAAGAAAAGAAAAAAAGACCCATCCTTTACACTATCCATTTCCTTCATTATTCAGAGGCTATCAAAGCCCTAGATAAAGAAAGGATGCCAGTTATAAACCTTATTGAACAAGAATTGCTCTATTATTTCCCTGTATCTCTCAGATAAAATAGCTCAATAAAAATCAGAATCTTCTAAAAATTAACAGGGAATGCTGAGATCAAACTGTAACTTGGATCATTTTTTCCTTTATTTCTTCTCAAAATTATTGGTACATCATTCTTAATAAATGGACAAGGATAAACTGGGTTTGTGTGCACTGGGCTGCACAACAGCTACAAACAAACTTCACTACTGGCAATGCTGGCTTGACCTGGGATCTGTGATTCACCCACATTTGGAGACCACTGATTTAAACAATAGAGAAACTTAATTTAAGAAACTTGCTATGTCAAATATGTATGTAATACAATATGTATATGTCAAATATATATTTAATTTTTATCTGCTCTTCCTAAACAGTTTAAGGTAGTTTGTATTAAAACTTCAGTTCGGTGTTTTAATGTAAAGATATTTTAATCTAAAAAAACTCATTAAAACCATTTAAATGAGTAAAAATTAATACCAGCTGAACTATTCTTTGAAGGTTTCTAAAAAGTCTACAGATATTATTCTACTTAAAAACTTTCGAGTTATGAATTTTTATCACCAAGAAGAACAAACCTGCCTGCAATGCCAAGATAGAAGATCCCGGAAGTCGGGAGACGTGCCACCTTTCCCACTTTCTCCTGACTTTCGCTTGCATACTGTTCACTGTTTAGTTGTTTAGTGCCTGGGTGTGGTGTGTACTGTAGCAACTGTGAATATCTGGAATTCAGCACAAGGGTAATTTTAATGTTTGTTTGGATTTATGAAAAAAAAACGAACTTACGAACAGCATCTTGGAACATAACCTGTTCATAAGTAGAGGAATGTCTGTAATTCCTGAGTGTCTGTAATCCCTGAAAATAGTTAGGAGTGCATTCCACAAGGATGAAGCAGTGCACAAGCCATTTAATCAGGAAGAGTATTTTCTGAGTCATTGGTATAATTTTGGCTAGGCTATGATTTTGGTTTTGAAACTCTGGACTCCCTTATTTTCTCCCATTTCCCTGCAGTTTACAGATTTGTGGTCTCCTAATGAACACGAAAACAATGTCCAAGGTCACATATTATGGTTAATGCACAATGGTTTGACTTAAGGGAGGGTCCTTGATGGTCTCTGAGCTTGCTTATTTTCTTGCAGACGTTTCATTATCCTAACTAGGTTACATCATCAGTGCTACAGTAATAAGGAATGCTGTTTGCTGTCTCTTGCCTGTCTGTGTGGTTGGGGGCGGTCTTAGGGATTCTTTGGTTGGGCTGTTTACTAATGGCTCTTTGTCAGTTTCTTGATTGGGGTATTGCTTACCTGACTGTTGGTCTGAAGGTGACCTTGGAGTTAATCTATGCTGATCTGAGTGCTGATTGCTGGTGGAGGGGTACTGGAGTCTTTTTCTCTTTTGGGCTGGTTGATTGTTTGCATAATCTATGGATGTTGTTAATGTCTATGTGTCTATTGATGCCTGATTTGTCAGAGTGCCAGGTTTCTAGAAATTCCCTGGCATTTTGGGATTTGGCCTGGTCAAGGATCGTCACACTTTCTCAATTGAAAGTATGGCTAAATCTGTCTATATGTTGTGAAATCAAGGAATTTTTGTCATGCCTTTTGACTGCCAGTTTATGTTCATGGATGCGTTCTGCCAGTCTTCTGCCTGCTTGTCCTACATAGTGGTTGTTGCAGTTCTTACATTGTGTGTTGTAGTAGATGACTCATATTTTTTCTTCTGGGGTTGCTGGGTCTTTGGGTTTAACTTAGGATGTTTTGAAGGGCTTTAGTTGGTTTATGTGCTACGCTGATTCCATGTGGTTGTAGTAGTCTATTTGCAGTTTCTGAGATGTTCTTGATGTATGGCAGTGTAATTCTTTTTAGGGTTTGTGTTGGTTGTGCTGTATTGGGTTGAGTGGTCAGGGATTTTTTGATGAAGTTGCGTGGGTACTCATTTTGTTGGAATATGTTCTATAGATGCTCCATTTCCTTTTCCTGTTGTTTTGGGCTGCTGCAGCGTTTCACAGTCCTGCACAGTCCTTACACAGCTTCTGTTGTGGGAGGTTGGGAGGTTGCTTTGGTAGTGGAGCACCTGGTTAGTATGGGTGGTTTTTCTGTAGACTTGCCATTGTGGTCTCTGCTGATCAGGATGTTGAGGAAGGGTAACGAGTTGTTGTTTTCTTCTTCTGGATTCCTTTAAAAATGTTATTGATGATTCTGTGGGCAGTCTCTAATTGATCCCTTTTTATTATGGTGAAGGTGTCATCTTCATATCTGATCCATATTTTCAGTTGTATTTGTGGAAGTGCATGATGACCTCTGCTATAAGTCCTGAAAGCAGGACACCATAGGTGTCCCTTTGATTTGATGGTAAATTTGGCCATCAGATTGGAAGTATGTCATTAAACAGAGGTTTATGAGATCCGTAATCCTGGGTGTTTTGATCTTCGTGTATTCAATTAAGTCAGGTGTATTGTGAAGCAATGTGGTCATGGATTCTTTCGCTAATTCTGGATCTATAGAAGTGAACAGGGCTGTGACATCAAATGAGACCATGATTTGACTTAGCCCAGCATGAAATATGAGCCCATTTGTTATGTGTATTATGTTAACTACTCCACTAGTTGTTAGATAAGCACTATGATACTTTTTAATTTAGATGAGTTCAGAAAGACGATTTCTAGATTTTTCTCAGCCAACATTTACATCTCTCCTCAAAGCATTTGATAAAGTCAGTCCAACTATAAAGGGGCTGATCCAGAGCTGCACAGAATGGAATCACATGAGTTACTCCATTGGTCTAATGCAGTGATGGCAAACCTTTTAGAGACCGAGTGCCCAAACTGCAAACCAAAACCCACTTATGTATCACCGGGTGCCGGGTGGGTGTGACCCACTCGGTGGGCGCAGCTACAGTGGGCTTGGCAGACTGGGTGGACGTGGCCACTGGATGTGTGTGGCTGCAGTAGTCATGGCAGATTGGGTGGGCATGGCCAGGGTGGGCGTGGCCACCTTGATGTTGCTTATGGGGAGGGACACCTGTGGGAGCCAGGCAGGGTTGGGGGAAATCCAGGGGGTCCTAGTAGGTGAGATGGTGGGCTCCCCAATAGTGGCTCCAGGCTGGCTGGCCTTAGGCCAGTGATAGCGAACTTTTAGAGACCACGTGTGCTGGGGCGATGGCGCGTGCCCACAGAGAGGGCTCCACGTGCCACCTCTGGCATGCGTGCCATAGGTTCACCACCACTGGTCTAATGTGAGGGCAGAGAGAATTTAGATCACTTTATTTTCAATCTGTGGTTCTCCATACTCCAAAAAACATTTTTTGATTAGATAACTCTCCAGAATTGTGTATGAAGAGTGTTACTGAGACAGGAATGAAGAGGAAATAAGAAAAATCTGTCGCCTTTCTCTAGAAGGAAAATTCCAGTGGATGTTGATTTTCTCTACTACTGGAAAGAGCATTTCCCAGAGATGTGTTTGTATAAGGTCATTTTGTATGTAAAATAACCATTTAGCAATTACACCAGCATATTATCTAAGCCAATGAACTATTTTATCGTGTATATCTCAGAAGTTTAAATGTATTACAGAGAAGAGGAACAGTCTCCTTGTGTCAATGTTACAATGGCAAGCATGCTTTACACATGCACAATACCAGAAAATTTACAACAGTGCAACTAGTACATATCAAATGCATTCATGCTTCACAATTAGACTGAAGTTATTTGTATAATATATGAACTAGCTTCACAGAAATATATGGAGAGATTAGCGTGCTTTATGGCTGATGGAATTGAAATCAACTTGAGAAAAATGAATAGAAACAGGTTTTGTTTGACCCAACACATCTTATCAGTCTTTCTTAACCTTTCGTCCTGCAACTCACATGATGCCCAGCAAGAATACTCATGTTGGCTGATGGTGCTGTACAAAACAGAACAAGGAATCCATTTTGTTTTTCTGTATCTGATGGTATTCTGTATATATAATGTATATGATGTTTTTCTGTATATAATGAGACACTTTGACACTGTTCATACAGGAAATGAAAGGTTGAAGTTCTGACACCCAATATTTGGACTGTATCATTTGTCACGGATAAAAATCTACTGATGTATGTTATTTTTCAACAGCCATCTTCTCAGTAAAATAAATACAGTTGATCTACAATTCAAAGTAATTGTAAAGAACATACCTTTATTAGACTTTTTTTGGCTAGTTATTGGAGAAGTTTTACATGTACACTAAGTTTAAAATTGAAACCAAAGACAAGGGAAAATACATTAACAAGACATGTATATATCATGTGCAATTTAAACAATATGAAAAATATATTATTGTATCATAAAACAGCTATCTTCAAGTTTAGAAATAACTTAGGTCTCTCCTTTTTTACATTTATACAGAAAAGCAATAGAAAATTCTTTTCATTTGGCTTAAAAACTAAGGAAATCATCAAATCATCAAAACACCTTTTGTGAAAAGTGCTTAGTCACCATCCTAGAAAGTAGTGACTTTCAGACATATTTAATGCAAATGTCTTTAAAAAGCCACTAATAAGCAAATCTGTTATATTGTGCCTTTCTATGCACAAAATCTCTCACAGCATAAGTAAAAGATTGCTTTGAGCCATTCCCCATCATGTGATGCCTCAAATCAATGTAATGCTATTAAAGGGCAGGATATGACTAAATCTACATGTCTGTATAGAAAAATAGCTATCTTAAAATATAAAAAGTAACATGCCAGTAGGCAGGTTGTTGTATCAGTGGCATACAAATCTTTTTCAGGACCTATGTTGCATATGTTCTTATTTCTATTATTTCATTCAACATACAGGTCATGTTCTACAATAATTACCTGTCCATTTTTTGTAATTCTGGCCCAAATCCAGAACTCTCTTGAAGTCAGCATATTTTTATTTCAAATCAGCTTAGCCCTGCTGATCAAATATGATTAGCTTGTCACTAATACTATTATACAGTCATAAGTGTGTGTGGATCTCATTAAAATATAGCCAGCAACTCAGCATCAATCAGAGCAGTTCATTTGATTAAGAATGGCTTAACACCCCAACTTTTTCCAAATCTGCACTGAACAAGTATCATGAGCCAATTGTGACTCAGATGGAAAAATTTAGTTTTAGGATGAAACAATGACATTTCATAATTGGATATATTCCTTCATCCCACCCCACCCCCAAAGCATTTTCCATTCATTAGAAGTTGTTTGGTATAAAGCCCTTGCTTTTCCAACAATAATCTACTGCTGCTTCCACCAAGCTACTTAAAAAGAGATTCTGCAAACTATTTAGGAGTGCCATGCAACAACTTTTGCATTCTTGGGTAGAAATAACTAATTAAGCAACTGCCTTCCTGAATATACTGCATAATCTATATGCAAATTATTCTTATGTTGTATTCAGCACCAACTAGACAGATATGGGGGAGGAAATAGGGAAATTTTCTTTTTTAAATAAAAACCTTACTTTTAATCTTGTTTTTCATTAGATCCAATGGGGAGGATAATAACTACACTAGCTTCAGAAGTTTTTCATTTATTCCAGCACCAAGAGCAATGATTGACAAGGCTCATTCAGCCAAAAAGGAAACAATGGTCTATTAGAGGGAATTTAGAGTTTTTAAGGATAGCTTTAATCCCTCCAAAAATTTAAAAAAAAAATGGTTCCAAAAATTTTAGCCAATCCTCTAATGAGGTAACGAGGGACTGGATTCTTCACCCTGGCTTAACATGTTACATAAACCAAGTCAATTTTGGTTTCTTGAGAAAACTATTATTAAAAAAAATCACAGTTCAATATGATGTTATGAGCCCAACCAAAGCTTGTCCAATGATACCCTTGACTTTTCCTCAATGTCTTCATTTTTTTTTTGTTACTGCTAGCTGCAAAGCTTGGCTGGCAAGGCAACTTCAGCTGAGGACTATTCTACGCTATTTAAGAGAACACCATTTTAGCAGCTTCTTCTCCATCTGCAGAGAGAGAAATGTGCAGTATTTCCATCGCCTCCCAGAAGCCCCAAGATCGAAATGTACTTTTTGTTAAATCACTAAGTTCTACTGCAAACAGACACCGAGAGCCTGCAATTATCTTCATGTTTACTTGTTAATAAAATGATAGACAAATCTATCCATATTCTTTGTTATTTAAATACTATGAAATTATTCTTTCAAAACAATAAATAAATCACTTTTCCCTATAATGTATATATTAATTCTTTCTATTCTCTTAACCCAATTTCCCCAAGCTGTTCAGCTTTTTTTTTTCTTTTAGTTTGGGTAACTTTTCCAAGGCAGTATATACAAATACAATACAATACTGTCTGTAAATTATAATAAATATACTATGTACCCTTACATACAAAGCCACTTGATAAAAATAGTTTTAGGGGTAGAGTATACAGAGTTTCAGTTAGTTTAATCTTGCTTTTAACCAGCCAACAGAGATAAGAGCTTATTCAAGTATACAACACTAGAAATAGCAAGACATGACATTTTTCCTTAAGTCAAACTCTGTAATTATTATAATTCTAATAAATTTTATTTCTGAGCCAAATAGCATTTTAAGTAGTAATGTAGACTAAACACTAAGATTTGTCTGCTAATAAATATTAAACCATTGAATTCATTTTTTTTCATTTTTCAATAATGATAACTTTTAAATAAATCCGCATTCAGGTAAGAATTAGAAAGGAATGTTCGTGTAAGCACATCATATATGGAAGTCAATGTTATTGATCCATTATATAAGTATAAAAACATTACCAATCAGGAAGTAAGATAAAAGTTCAAAAAGGATTGAAGGAAGGAATATAGTTTCTTTTTCGTCTCTGGAGGTCATGTCTTCCCCCTGAGAACTATTGCACAATAGTGCATACACCTATCTGAGACACAGAGTCTTTTATTACAGCATGATGTAAAGTTAAATTATAATTGTCTTCAGAACAATCAAATTAATATCCCATTGCATCATACAGCTCAGTTGGATTTATCTTGGATGCTCGCAAAGCTGGCATTTGAGTGGATGCGCTTACCTAGAAATAGAAGAAAAGCATAAATCCCACAAAAACAGTTAATAGCACATTCATACAAGAAATCTAAGTACTCAACAACAGAATTTATATGGAGAGGCATCTAGAACAAGTCATAGTAATGGTATATGTTTATGATGTCACTGAATTACTAATTAAATTTGCATTATTTGTAGAACGGCATCATGAGACGTCATCCTTTCCTACAGTAAATATCAAAAATAGTGATAATGCAAAAAATCCCAATTTATAGTTACAAATCAACCAGAAGAACAATGTTGGTTTAAATAGTTTTCGAGTTAGATAGAGAATTCATTTGGCCAATTGGTGCAAAGAGGTCCAAAGCTAGTGAGGAGCTATTGAGAAGACCTTTCCTTATTTTCCCATTTCACAAATAATGGCAGGAGAGGGAGAAGAGGTTTTGCAACAGATCTTAAAATTTGGACAAGTTCAAAGGAAGGAAAGTAGTCTTTAATATAATAGACCTCAAGTCATGCAAAACTTCATAGATCACGGCTATCAGTCTTAACTGTGCCAGAAATAGATCAGAAGCTGACATTAACAAGGCTATCACATGCTATCTATTACATTCCTATTTAATGATCTGGCCAATGTTATGAACTACCCAAAGTTCTTCCAATAAGCAGTAATATCTAAGAATGCTCCAAACTCCGAACAGAATACAAAGGCCTAGGCCACTGTGGTCTGGTCTAATTTCCAGGAGCAAAAGTACCATCAAAACTTGAGAAATCACATTCAAGAGTTGAACCAGGAATACCCCAAATTACAAATCTGAAAATGAGAAAATTGCTGTCCATGCTCAAATGGAAACTGAATCCCTTTTTTTTTCAAATGACAAGGTGGACCTCTGTTTTATCTGGGCAACACATTTATTTGTTCATTTTTATCAAATGTCAAATTATTCTGAGTACCAAACAGCCAACATATACAGGTCAAATTATATGAGACAGTTATTCCTATATACAGTAACTTGACCATACTGTGAAGAGAGGCTTCTTCACACCATTTTTTAAAAAAATTATGGTACCCAAATGATTTTATAAATAAATGGTTGACTAGAACACTGAATATGATGTTGCTAATCACAGGTGTTCAACAATACGCTGAGTCTGTTGTTCAGAAAGAGCTAATTGCAGATAGAAAGCTCCCTGTCCTTACTACCTTAAAAAAAAGATAGGAGAAAATCATCCAGTTGTCTGATTCATTCCCTCTGAATTGCCACCACAGCCCTTTGACTCAGAACAGCTTGATAAAGGCAGTTAAAACTTGTTTAGTCACTTAAAAGTGCAGCAGTGAGACAGAATCAAATGATGCATTATCGACTTCCAACCCAGATGATTCTAATCAGATTGTGAACAGAGACCCAAATTCCAAAGCACCCAACATTGGGCATCATGCCATCTAGGCGCAAATACCACTTTCAATACTGTAATCTTTTTTTTTATTATTTCGATCCAAATAGAAACCATAAAGATTTTGTGATTTTACTTACCCAGAATCAGGATGCGTTTTTTCTGCTTTGAATGAAGGAAGGTACTCAAGTAAAAAACAAGTGGTAGAAAGAAAATGAACAAAGAAACTGCAATCACTGGCACTGTATCTGTGCAGGGGACAGAACAATTAAAAGTTGTGCTCCACAGCCTTCGTGTGATGTTCATCTAGAAGGACACAATTGTAAAAAAAAAAAAAAAAATATCAAAGAGATTAAGACATCTGAGGAATCATCAATATCTGGATAAATTCCAAAGTTTTGCATTGAATGAGCATCAGTATGTCTACCTTTTACTGGGTAAAGATCCCGCCTTCCTGGACAAGATGCAACATAGTTTTTACAGTTATCAGGCTATCCTTAATGGCACATGCAAATTTAGCAATCTCGTGGGTTTTCATATAGATTTTAAAATGTCCACCCTGACAAGCTTTAAATGTTGTAGCCAAGTGCTTTATTAAAGTGTTCTTCAGGGTTCGACATCTGAGTTTGCATTAACCACAATCCAATCATTTCATACAGTAATAAGAGCATCTATTTATTTGCATGCTATATAGAAGATGCCAAATTCATATGTCTTTAAGAAAGGCTTAAAACAAAACAAATAAAAACCTCTCAATGGATCCATGTTAAGAAAATGTCAGAAGAATGTCCACAGAAGTACAAGAGAAGGTTAATGTAAGTGGTTGATGGGACCTAAGCCTACCCTTAGCAACATGCCTCATCACTGCTAACACATCCCAGTATATGGGCAAAAGACACCCCTGTCAATTAGTCCTTTGAGAAACCAGTCAGTGAGATAAACTGAGGCTGGATACTCAGGCGGTGAAAACACAAAACTAGAGAGCGAGAAAAAGATGTTTTTTTATTGTAAGATAAAATACTGGTGGGTTTTCAGCCATTTAGCTGTGGAAAGTGCTAAAATGCCTGAACTCGGTTTATTCAGATTATTACCAATATATGTAGATTTGATTATGTGCCATCGAGTCATTTCAGATTCCTATGTAAACCAGCAAACTACATTAAAATGATAGATAGATAGATAGATAGATAGATAGATAGATAGATAGATAGATAGATAGATAGATAGATAGATAGATAGATAGATAGATAGATAGATAGATAACCTTTATTGTCATGTTTTACTGTGGGCACAATGGCACACATTAAAAATTAAATTTAGTTGCTTGCTCTCAAAGTGTACAGATACATAACACACATTTAAACATACTATATACAACATGTGTAGACCTATACCCTTACATATAAGTAACATATAAAATGCTTCCTTTATCAGGAGTTACTCTTATTATGCTGTTATTTAAAAAGCTGTATTTTCCCAAAAGGCACAAAAGACAATGCTACTATGCTATGGTTTTATACATTTTACTTCTATATTCCGTTTTATTGCACTGGAATTTTAGCTACAGTTAACCATTCTTATGAGATTAGTAATAATGCAGTAATTAAATTGGACAAAAGCCAACTTGAGACACTACAATATACGGAGAAGTGATACAAATGAGTAGACAGTATCAGGAAAGCAAAACAGAAAGGAAGACTCACTGCATCCTCTATATCAATGCACAGATGAAACTGTTCTCCAGATTCCTCTTGATGCTCATTCTTCTGTATCTCACTGTAGTGAGAACTCAAGTTTTTATATGTACCATTGCAGTTCTTGCAGACCTCTGAGTAGTTACTTGGTAGCAGGTTCCCTTCCTGGCCGTAAAATATAAACCAAGAAATTATTTTTTAAAAGAATAGATTAGAAAATTCAAGATGAGTTTGAAGTATAATCCAAGCTGCCACAAAAGGCTGCCACAATTTTCAAACAACAGCTGCAAGATAGAGGGAAACTCCTACAGTCAGTCTTCCACCTGTGGCTACAATTGGGACTAGAATTTCCATTGCTAAGCAAGGAGGATATTAAATGAGCCACGCCTAATTGTATGACCTTTTTGCTACAGTTGTTAAGTGAATCACAGTTGTTAAGTGAATCACATGGTCATTAAGCAAATCTGGCTTCCCTCATTGACTGCTTGTCAGAAGCCAACTTGGAAGGTTGCAAATGGTGATTACACAAGCCCCAAGATGGTGCATCCGTCATAAATACATGCCATTTGCCAAGCACTCAAATTCTGATCATGTGACCATAAGCATAGCAATAGCAATAGCACTTACAGTGAGGGGAAAAAAGTATTTGATCCCCTGCTGATTTTGTACGTTTGCTCACTGACAAAGAAATGATCAGTCTATAATTTTAATGGTAGGTTTATTTTAATAGTGAAAGACAGAATAACAACCAAACAAAACCAGAAAAACACATTATATACTTATAGGACCATGAATGCACACACTGATACACCAAATTCTGAGCTAATGATTGCCCCTCCCACTAAAACTAACAGGTATATGATGTTAATAACCAGTAACACAGGACAGTATGGAGTTACTTAAAAGTATGAGTTACGAGGAAATTGCAGAATGTGATGTGAAAGACAAATACTGCCAAAATGCAGTTAACTAGGACGTTGGGTGAAAATAACATGTTTTCAAAATGTCAGTATATCCATTCTTGTCCAACTTCCGCTATTCTTTTCATTTACCTCCTGCTGACAATGCTCATTATTCAATAGCTTGTGACTATTCTCACATCAGTGCAAAACAGTTATGTTAATGACTGTTACATCAACAATCAGTACTTTGTTTTGGTATAGCAGAACCCAGCACAACAGCATATTTTAACATTTGATATCTGATCGACAGTGAAACATGAAAAGCAGAAGAAAAAGACAAACATGAACAGAAAAGTACTACATTATTCATTATCAAGGATGACATAAATACAGAAGGTATATTTAAATATACACAATCTTCAAAACAAAACAAAAAAACAGCATTACAAGGTTACACATTCTTGCCTGGCACAGTTTTCTAGTAAGAGTAGGGTTTTTGATGTCCCCGGTCACCCAGGTCCCAACCTGATCTGATCTTTGTCATGGTTAAATCATTCTCTGCTAATCATGGAGTTCTCTGGCACAGTCCCCTGGCACAAGGAGGCTGGATTTATTTGGTCAATCCATCTTAGGCAGCTAATGGACCCTGTTGGGTTCCGGAGGGAGATTTGCGTTGCTCTTGATAGTCTGCTACAAGGCCGTCCTTACTTCCCAGAATGAGAGAATGATAGGGCTTTGGATCAGACCAGGCCCATATAGACTCTCTCCTCCCATGGATTTTGTAATTTCCTTTGGTTTACAGAGGACTTGAGGGAGATGAAACAGAGAAAATTAAAGTGCCACTGAAGGGCAACAAAGAGTGAACTCAACTCTGCATGAATTAATGCCACTATTAAGACCTAGCCTGTGGTGGTAAGGGTGGCAAAATGTCAGTATTCTTCTGCCCTAATAGACCCTGTGTGCATTTTGGGGGTCTTCCAATTCAACTGGAGCTCCTGCTCACAGAACAAGTAATAGCTGGGCCAGAAGGGGCTCTACATAATTTTGTGTGCCAGTTGATCAAGAGACCCTGCTCATAGTCCCTCATGCTATGGTCACTTCCCAAATGGAGTACAGCAATGCATTTTATCTGGAAACTACAGCTGGTGCAGAATCCAGCAGCATGGACAGTTATTAAATCAGAGCATGTTGCACACCTGCTCTATGGGCTGTACTGGTTACCAGTATTTGTCCAGGTTCAATTCAAGGTGCTGGTAATAATCTATAAAATCTTTCAAGGCACGAGTTCTTTGAGAGATTGCTTTTTCCCAATTATGTCTATCCATCCCATAAAGTCCAGCCGGAGAGGCATGTTCCGGGTCTCACCTATCAGGGGACATTATCTGGCAGGATCCAAAAAGAAAGACTTTTCTTTCATGGTACCAGCCCTTTGGAATATCAGCCCCCTGGAGACAGGATTAGTCCCAACCCAACTTACTTTTGGTAAGGCCTTAAAGACATAGTTACCTCAGCTACTGATCGTACTTGTATGTTTTTAATATAATTTTTAATTTTAATTTTTTAATTTTGTTTATTATGAATTTGAGAAGGACAGTCATATTAATTGAAATAAATCAGCAAAAAATCCCAAATTACCAGAGAATTTCCAATTTATCTGTAGACGTATATGGATTATGGAAGGCTGAGTAAGTTCACCCAGGTGTTTAAAATAAATATGTAAAGCAGGCAGTGTTCACAAACAGAAGCCTTATTTCCTTGTCCTCTTAGAATATCAAATTGTTGCATCTGAAGTATAAAGATCTGAAGAGGGCCTCTATACTTATTTAACTGAAGGCACTTAAAGATATACACACCCTCCTGGAGCTACAAGTGTCCAATCACAATGAGTGTTTTAAGCAGCTTCAGCAAATTACACTGAGATGCCTCCTGCAAATATATATAGGACAGGGTTTTTTTCCCTCCATATAGAAGGGAACATGGGAAAGAGAGGGTTCTATATGCAGTCCACTTTTTCTCATTCTATTCCTATCCTAATCACTTATTTCTTTTATTATAATATAGAATCTTCTCAACTGACTTTTCTCATAATTCACTCTGATTCTACCTAATGTTCTATTTAATTCATCTGTGTCATTCATTCTTTAGTAATGAAAAAAAAATCTTATGCAACTGCACTGACTCTTAACATTTCTTCTATTTTACCTTCTCTAATAGTTCATAGGTACTCAACTTTTCTATATAATAGGAAAAAAGAATGTTCCAAAAAAATTCACTTTTGTGGATAAATAAAATGTTCACATTATAATACAATAAGAGAAAAGAAACAAACAAATTCAAAAGAATTTATTGAATTCAAAAATACAAGACTATTTTTCAATATTTAAACTAAATGTAAAATTATAAATACTGGGCTTGGCATTTACTTCTTTACTAAGGAGGGAGAAACAAGAACAGGATTTTTCTCTCATTTTTTAAAATCTAATTTACAAAAATAGTTCAGTGATTATACATGGTTTGGTAACACAGATAAATAGTATAGTAGTAGGAATACAATTCCCATTCTGAACTGTGATAGATACTTTGCAAATTACAACTGCATTGGATTTCTACAGTGACCTTAAAATAAGCAAGGTTGCTATTTTAAGCGTCTAGTTATAATTTTGCTATCAACCTTCATGACAATAAACACTCTGATGATATAAATTAATATATGGGATATACAGGTCTGAAGTTTTGAATAATAAAAGCATAGTAGTTCTGAACGTAGTTGGATCATATCCTAGAAGTTGGTTACATCTTTCCAACTTTATAGAGATACTAGATTTAGAAAGATTTTAATAGCAGATACTATATGTGAAAAACCAACTTTTTAAATAGCTATGTATCCACGATTAAACTCATACTATAATAAAATATCAGATGACCCATACAGTTATATCAGGAGGTGACAAGGCCTAAAATAATGTAAAAAGTGATTTACTATATGAAGAGATTATACGACTCTTCCTATATAATTATCAACTATTGTGAAACCAAAACAGCGGCATAATTGCATATGAAATGGAGGTGAACATTAATTAGAATGCATTTTGTTGTCAGTAGTGAACACCTGCATTTTAAAGATAATTGTTCTATCTGCTTAAACTGCGTAAGAGTTGGTAAATTATATTTGCAGCGCCTTGCTCTGAAAAAAAGGGGGAAATTCACTATACAATTAGAGGGCTCAACTGTACCCTTAATAAACAATATTAAGTACCTGGAGGTTCTGTTTAAAGCATGCCATTGATTCATTGTATAAGGCCAGGAACATCACTGTACCAGCTGATAAGCCTTCCTGCTTCTGGTTTAAACAATCTATGAAAGAAGAGTCAAAGGCATCAATAAATCTCCAGTATCCACTTCCAAAAGGCTGTTTTAGATCAAGGTTTATTTATTGTACAGATAGTTATTCTGCTTTTAAATTATACAGTAGTATAAGTTAACACAGTATAATCTATGAACCTGCCATGAAAGGAATGACAAATGCTAGTCTAAGGCAGACACAATCAATGACACTTCAGTATCACATGCAGTTCCCTTCTTTTTAAAGTTCTTCTTTATACAGTTCTCCGATGGTAGGCTGCTGAAATTCTGTAAAGCAAAAAAAAAACCAGCAACACCTCCCAAAATGAGACCTAAAATAGATCCCATACACTTCAAGAACTGGGGGGGGGGAATGCCCTTGCCCATTAAGTGCATTTTTCCTTCCACTACAATGTTGCTAGGTGGAAAGAGGAGGGGAAAGAGGAAAAAAGAGAGACTAGGTTGGTATCTTGATGACAAGCCAACAAAGACCTCAGACCTTCTGCACAAAACATGGGCAAAAAGCCCCTTCCAAAATACAGTTGTTGTAAACTCTTGGAAACTTTGCAAGGCGTGTTTGTTGCCAAATACTGCCAAATTAAGCAATAAGATGTTCAGTCTGGCAGTAGGAGAAAAAGCGAAAAGTTGTGAAAGTGCTGAGTTTTGAAGAGAAGCTTAGCAGAAATAATGGGTGTTGATCTGAAGGTTATCATAAACATAACAGGAAGCAAAAGAATATGAGAGAGGTGACGAAAAGAAAAGAAAAGAAAAACAATAAAATGAGGGAAAACTAATCAGAAAGATGAAGAAAAATATAACAGAGTACAAGATGGCTCTAAGTGAACATGGAGATACAACTGGGAGAAAAAAAGAACCAGGACACAGACAACAATTTTCACTGAATGAAGTTTGTTTTTTAATAATAGGAAAAAAGTATCATAATTTTGACAAGACAGAGAAATGTAGGGGTGACTAGGTAACATTGGTGTTATCAGATAGTGACAGCAGTGAAGGAAAAGGCAGCTGGGAAGGAAAAATGTCTGGAAAGGAAAAGGCACCCAAATAATCAGTTTTCAATTTTCAAAGGTGAAAGGGTAGGTCTAGAACTGTGGTGGCGAACCTATGGCACGCATGCCAGAGGTGGCACTCAGAGCCCTCTCTGTGGGCACGCGCGCCATGCCCCGGAGATGGCAACTGTCCCTCTTCAACCAGCCGCCTGCTAACTCGCCAAGGTCCCATGTGGCCAGATGCATCCCAGCACGACTGGTTTCCCTCCCCCCCGTCCCATTGCTCCTGGCCTCGCATGCTCTCCTTTTCCCGGGCACAACCCACTGCATCGCCTCCTCAGCTGTCGGTCAGCTGGCCGTCCAGCTCAGAGGCGGCTTCTCTGATCTACTGGTGGTGGGCTGCAGAGCCCCAGAGTGCGCCGGTCGAGGAGCCGGCGGGCTGTGGATGCTGATGGACACTGTCGGCACCCACACGCTCACTGGCCTCTGTGTGCGGGGGCCGATGGTGTCAGGCAGCAGCTGCCCCAGCCTCTGCCTCACCTTACCCTGCGACAATGGCACTCCCGCCCTGCCTCACCTCGCCTCACCCCATAGGATGAGCCTCCTGCCCACCGCCCCACCTGCCAGAGACCCCCTGGATCTCTCCCAAACTTGCCCAGCCCCCACAGGCGTCCCTCTCCATGAGCAACATCAAGGTGACCACGCCCACCATGGCCACACCCACCCAGTCTGCCATGACCACAGCCACGCCCACCTGGCACCCAGCGATAAATAAGTGGGTTTTGGGTTGCAGTTGGGCACTCAGTCTCTAAAAGGTTAGCCATCACTGGTATAGAATATGTATCACCACAAAATAAGTGACACTTAACAAGCATAGGAAGCAATAGGCTCGGGGGGGGAGACACCCAGTAAGTTCACAACACATTAAGCCATGATTTGTTTAATTATGGATTATAAAATGTACAGTCTGTGCATGCATAACATGCTAAGCCACAATCAAATTGCCTTTTGCCGAACACATAACATGAATCCAGTCTCAAAAGAGTAGATTAAGCATGTGGAAATATTTCTTGCTGAAGTTAGGATTGCAGAAGCTTAGAAACAAAATAAAATAGGGGAAGAGAGAACCTCAGCTGAATCAGAGGCAGCAGTAAGATTGAGAAAGATGAGAATTTTAAGACCAACAAAGAGGACATAAATGGATAGGCTTAACAAAAGCATCCAGTAGTACAAAATAGCATCAGGTTTCTGTCATATGATCTATATTTTCTCTTTTAACACCAATATGGACTTAACTAGTAGTCCTTATACCATTTGAAATTACCCAATTAATTGGATGAAAATAGAAACTGAGCTCATAAGTAGAAAATGTTGAGACAACCCAGAGCTGCTTCGCACAATTCCATAAATCAAAGCTGTGTAAAGAGGAGCATAGAGAGGAAACAAATGAGGGCTAAAATACCAAATGCTTTAATATCCAAATCTCCTCAGTTTCAATTGGCATGAATAACAGAAAGACTATGGGAGCCACACTCAGATATCTGAGTAGCACCAAGTTGTCCACTACTGGCTTAAGATAACTATCATGAAAAGTGTTTCATTTTTTATTATTTCACAAAACGAAGCCTTATTTCCTTATCCCCTAGAGCAGGGGTAGGCAACCTTGGCTCTTTTATGACTCGTGGACTTCAACTCCCAGAATTCCTCAGCCAGCATGGCTCACCATGGAAACCTCTCCCTTTTCCCTCAGCATGGCTGGCTCAGGAATTCTGGGACTTGAAGTCCACGAGTCATAAAAGAGCCAAGGTTGCCTACCCCTGCCCTAGAGAGAACGTCAAATTGTTGCATCTGAAGTGTAAAGATCTGAAGGGGGCCTCTATACTTATTCAACTGACGGCATTTAAAGCTTTGCACTAGGACAGCGGTTCTCAACCTATGGGTCGCGACCCCATTTGGGGTCGATCGACCATTTCACGGGGGTCGCCAAACAAGGCTGTCCGCCATTTTTTTTCCCCTTTTCCGGCGGGTGCCTTACCTCCCTTGAGCTGGGCCAGCTGGTGGTCGGCCTGCTCCATCTCTGCCGCTTGCCAGCTATGCCTCGGCCGGCGCAGGGGGCAGAACCACGCATGCGTGCGCTCCCAGGCAGGGAAAGTCCTCGACTTACGACCGGTTGGGTAGTCCTCGACTTACGACCGGCTGGGTAGTCCTCGACGTACGACCGGTTTAGTCCTCGACTTACGACCGGTTGGGGGTCGCGGCATTAAAAAGGTTGAGAACCACTGCACTAGGACTTGGCAGAACAAGGAATAAACAGCCAACAACTTAATGGTCAGCCATCAATACTCTAATCAACAGCTAGGAGGCCACAGAGAACCAGGCACCATACAAATTCTGAGCATGGAATAACCCAAAGCACACATTCCGATAGAGAGAAGTTCCCTGAGGATGGGCTCCAGCACATGTCCAAAAGCTCGGAAGACTAAACGATCAACCCAGATTGGATCCTGCAACATTATCCTGGGGCATATATATTTGCCTTCATTCATGAGTTATTCTTTCACATAAAATAACTTTCATATATATTTTTAATAAATTATTCCTGAATACGACTGACTTTGAGTGCCATGTAGTGATAAGGAGAATATCAATCTAAATATAGTATGATATATGATATGATAGATATAATATATATGACACATTAATCAACAAGCCTTGCGCCTGGATGCTATTCTCTCTCCTCTTTTTCATCAGTGCCACTATGGAGGTTGTATATTTACTTTTTGTTACAAAAATGATGGAGTTCAGTGTTATGTCCAGTTCTTTAATCTTAACTATGACTACTAGAAAAAAGGCAACTACAAACTACAGTTAGGATTATCAATAGTTGTTTAATATTAAACATGGCTTCTGAACATTCCTTTCAGCTGTGCCAAGCCATGCGTCATTCTTGTCACAATACTCCACTGAGCTATAATTTAGCATTACAAGTCTGTGTTAAGTACAAGTAAAAAAGGCAGTATGTTTGCATGGCAAAATTAGCCATTATTTATCTAAAACACAAACACACACAATTTAAGATGATTTTCAAATCAGCTTCCATGTCAAGTATATTCGTTGGAAACATTTTGCGTTACATCATTTTGGCAGATGAAGAGCACAAACTGTAGAACAATGCAGAGATAAAAATGAAGAGAATGCAAGAACAGTTAGCAGAATCCTTAAAAGACAAGAGAGAATGTAAACAACAACATAATTTGATAAAAGAGGGGAGCATGAGAGACTCAACTCCACCTTGATCCATTATGGTATAAGAGGTATAAAAAAGACAGAGGAAAACTCTGGCAGGCTTTTGGGATTCCACTATTATAAGCTGCAACAAAAAGATAAAAGGCCAACACAAACAGATTCTAGAAGGATATTCACACCCAATGTCCAAAGGAACACTCATACACAAATATGCTGTTACAGTCCTTGTCCTTGGGAACAGTCTCTCCCATAGTGTTCTGCATGACCCGTACCTAAATTTGTTTAAATGGGCTCTCAAAAATTGGCTCTTCCCCAGATCCTGGACTAGAATAGGTGGTGAACCTCTTATGGGCATGTTTTGAATTCAACTTGTGGATTTTATTGTTTCTATAGGCATCATTTTTTCCTAGGCGTTATATTGTTTTGAACTGTTTTTCAAATCATTATGGCATAACAGCCTTAGAAATTTAAACAAATAAGGATCATACGCATCAACTCCATGTCAATTGTGTGGCTGCAAAACACTCTTGTGACAAATTGAAACAACAGGGCTGTAATCGGTCATTGTCTATAGATATGTAATGTCTCCTAAGTTTTGTGCACAAGTATTTACATGTATGTACCGTGTTTCCCTGAAACTAAGATCCGGTCTTATATTTTTTGGGCATCAAAAGATGCATGAGGGCTTATTTTTGGGGTAACAAGGTGTCAGTGTGATCAGCCCAGAATGCGCCCCACCTCCTGGCACGTGCACAAGAGGCAGTGAGCACGCAGGGGCCGATGATGTCTGGCAGCAGCCATAGCCCACTGGCCCCTTGCAGCAGCGCATGTAAGTCCGAGCGTGGAGGCAGAGCTGGGGGGGAAGCAGGCAATCCGGATGCACTGTGCGGTCACCTGGCCCGTGGGAGGCTCACACAGCGTCACTGGAGGCAGGGGGAGGCAGAGGCCTGGGGTAGGGGGGGAGGCAGGTGATCCTGACACACCATGTGGCCGCCTGCCCCGGCGGTGCCACAGGCAAACCGAGAGACGGTGGAACGGAGTAGGAGGTGCATCGGGATCGCCTGACTCCCTCCTGTGCCTCTGCCTCCATCTGCTGCCAGTGCTACTGCACGAGCCTCCCACAAGCCTCCGGTGAGCCAGGCAGCTGCGCAGTGCATCTGGATCACCTGCCTCCCCCCCCTGCCGCTGATTCCGCCTGCTGCCGGTGCCACCGTATGAGCCTGCCATGAGCCAGATGGCCGCACAGCGCATCCAGATCGCTTCTGCCTTGGCACTCAGCCTTACCTGCGCTGTGTGGGCTGCACCTGCTGCTGGACACTGTCAGCCCCCATGCGTTCACCGCCTTCTGTGCTGGCCACCTTCACCCCCCCCCAGGCTTATTTTTGGGGTAGAGCTTATATTAGGCACACCCTAAAAAATTAGGCTAGGGCTTATTTTCTGGGTGGGTCTTATTTTGGGGAAAACATGGTACCATTAAAAATGTATTTTCTCGGATACTTTTTTCCTATAGCATGAGTCCCCAACCTCTGGTCCATGGCCCACTACAATCGTGTGAGTTGCTGGCCAGTTCATGTGTGCGCTTGCACCTCCTCTCCCGCTAGCACAGGCATCGCGCAGGCACTAGTGATGCCATGAGTGTCATGCAGGCACTAGCATCGCTGTGAGTGCACTTTCCCCTCTTGTGCACCCCCACTACCGCTAGCACTGGACATTGTGCAGGCACTAGCATCGCTGCAAGCGCACACATCCCTACTCGCGCTAGCATCGCAGCACTGAACAGGTGCTAGCGTTGCCCGAGCGTTGCCTGGGCACTCGTGGCCCCATTTACGTCACACGTGCACTTCTGGCCCCATGCGCACGCTCGCATGCATAAATGCGCCTCCACCACCAACCCGGCCACCAACTCAGAAAGGTTGGGGACCCCTGCTCTATAGCACTGAATTGCCAGAACAGGTCCACATACACTGATACAAGAAATAGTTAAGCTTCATGCAGTTAATTCAACTTGCAATATATGAACAAGTTGCTTACAGAGGTAGGTGCTAGTCCATCTGTTGCTGATTATGATAAATTGAAATGCGGCCCAACATTAATTTGATATTCTGAATTTATTATTTTTATAAACAACTCAAAGCAGTGAACAAACCTATACTCTTCCTATTTTCCCCACAACAATCCAGTGGCAAGTTGAGCTGAGACAAGAGGGCCCTAAAGTCATCCAGCTGGCTTTCATGCCTTAGGCAGAACTAGAACTCACAGTCTCATGGTTTCTATCTGGTACCTTAACCACATGCCTTAATTATCCTATTTATTTATTTATTTCTCAAATCTATGGGTCCACCCTACAAACTCTGAATATAATGTACAAAACATCAGCAAAGCCCATATACATACAGGTTTATCAAAACATTTATGTAAAACACTATTTTCCCTTCTTTCTCACTTTTCCTACACATATATTCTATATATCTACATTTGTATATGTGTATACTGTATAGATATACACACAGAGACACATACACACGATGCAAGCTTATGGGTTTTAAACAATGGTGAACAGCACATTATTTTAGATATTTCCTAAATCATCATCTCTTGTAAATTCCCTTCCTATTTTAATGAACGGAATCAAAGGAACAATTGAGAAATACAACTATAACCACAGTGTTGCTGAATACATAAAAATATCCATCAATTCATTTAACTAATAAAAGCAATACAGGTATGACTAATCCAGCATATACTATACACATTAAAAAGAACATGCCATCAAAAGAAATACAGGCCTTTCAGACTTGTCATATAAGCATGGTGGATTGCCCTGTTCTCAGTTCACCTGCACCCCTTCACCTAGTACATTCTTCACATCTCATTTCAGAAATAAGATACTTTATTATACTTTAGTTTTGCTACAATGTTTGGTTGATTTTAGCTTAGTATGTTGTGTGTAGCCAGCTGTTATGAATTATAAACTATTCTGTATGTGTTCTATGGGCTCAAATCAATAAATCGCAAACAATCCACGGCATAAGTATATGAACCCAATCAGGATTTGTAGAAACTGAGAATAATGAATAAGCAATTACTTAGCTCTGGAAATCATCTTTCTTATAATAAAACTAATGCCAGAGAAGAAGTGTGCATATTGATATGTTATGTATTACCCCTGTATATAGCTTTAAAAAAGTAGAAAAATATATTCTTTTATTCGTATTGAATATTCAAACATACACAAGAAAGCAGACAAAAAGAGTACATACTTGCACAGTTAGCTTTTATCCATGTGTCATTAAAAAACTTGTTCACAAGTGCAACCATCTGTAGCCTGTCTGACATCAAGAGACTTTGGGCACAACGGTTACTCTTAGTAGTATTCTGAAAGGAGAAAATACACATATAGAAATAGTTTGTTAGCAGTTCCAGCAATCAAGAATATATTATCTATTCTGTGGTATTGTAAGATTGCATTTTAAAGCTACAAACCTATATAGAATAGCTTTCAGCAGGGGAAGGCCCCACTGAGTTAGAAATAATTATTTCTGAATAAATATAGTATTGCAGTGTAGTTCACTTGTACATATAAACACAATGTTATCTTCCTAATAAAATTGGGACATACATGTATTATCCAAACAAATGGCATTAAAGATTTAAATTACTCAGGAACTGAAACAGCTCTCTCAAGGGAATTTCTGTGCTAGTCCATCAGTTGCTGAGAACATATTTTAAGTCTCTCCAATGGATATCTTTGTCTTCAGATATATAAATGACAAGCTGAGAGATCATTTATTTTAGTGGTGAATCCCTAACTCTTTATAGTGTCTCCTTTGACAATGGTCACCAGATATCTACATTCTTGTAACCTGGATATCAAATCCACACATTTTGCAAATATTTTAGTGATTTTTTTTATAAACAATTAAAGAAATGTTCTGGGAATATATTCTACTGAGGCAAATATTCTGAGGTAAAATTCATCACTGCTTTAGTGGTAGCCCCCTCTTTCAAATGCATTTTCTTTCATATATTCCCCAAGCAATTCCCAAATTTGTTTTATAAAGTCCCCTCATCCCAGTGCAAGAGAAGTTGAGCCATCCTTAATTAAGAAAAGCATTTGCATCAATTTAACTCTTTTTACAGGCTACAACATAAGAGAATATTTATTTAATTTATTTAATTTATATGCCGCCCTTCTCCCTGCGGGACTCAGGGCGGCGCACAACATATTTAAAACAAAAGCATATATACAATCCCCCCCTATAAAACCGAATTAAACCAAATTTTAAAGTTCCATTCCAATCATTCTTCCAGATTTTCTATTTCTGTGATTTTAACATGGGAAAAATCATATGACAGACTGCATCACTTCTATCCTTTTCTATCCTTACATTATCTTAAGTTATTCCTGATGCAAAGCAGTAATTGCTACGTTCAAATGTAATTTAAAGTGACAATGTGATTTTTTTCAGATTCAGTCAAGCCTTTAGGTCAGTTGATTTTTCTTATTTCTACTTTTTCAGAATTTATAGACACCAAACTGAATACCATGCATGATGATCCATGAAGGATTCAGTAATTTAATTTTTTGTGCCTGCCTGAGATTTGTAAACCAAGGGATAAATATGTGGATAGCTCATTGCAACCCTATGCCTATTTTATATGAATATGGAAAATGGAAAATTCAAAGTTTACCTATAGTAACTATCCTTTCATTCTCCCAGTGACTTATATGCTTATATGGGCACAGGGCTTTTTGGCATGATAAGGAAGAGGTTGGCCATTGTATTTTTCATCTTCCAAATGTAGCCTAGTCTCCTCTGATGCTCCCATCCAATTACTAAGCAGGCCCAATACTGTTCATCTTTATAGATCAGCCAACGTCAGCCAGATGCTGTCACTTGAAGAGGAAAAAAAAACCTCTTGACTCCCCAAGCCTCTATCTGTGCAACCTGACCACTGCTCAGATATTTTATCAAAATATAAACCCAACTAATTCTTCTTGCTGCAAAGTATGTCATTCATCTCATGGAGACACTTACGAGCAATCCCACTGACAAGGAAAACAAAATATAATTTGCATTCCAGAAAGAACCTCTCTACTTTGACATAGGATATATATGATTACTGTAGTTCCTACTTGTTTCATGAGTTCCCTCTTCTATCAGTCACAAAAAGCAGACCCCCAAGTTTTTATTCCACAGATATAAGAAGAGGAGCCTCCTCCCAAGATAAAGATGTTCCACCACCACAATTTTTGGAAAACCCGTGTTTTTAGACAAAGCGTGCTTGTATTATCCCAAGCTCTGAAAATTCCAAGATGATTTTAACAGTAGCCTCCAAAACAAACAGATCAAATTATAATTTCCAAAAGACTGCCATGTTTCTCTGTGGCAGCTGCAACTGGCCCTGCGACCCCTTAAACTTAGAGAGTCTAACCAACATTATCGTAGACAAGTAGAGCCCACTTCATTCGATGCAACTGCAATCCACAAAAATACCAATGTTACAATGCACCACAAGAATCTTTCTGGCTTCAACAGAAGTACTTGCCAGACAGAACTGGGACAGCTTTGATGGAGCAACTAACTGTTCCGGTAGCAAAAACAGGAACGATTCTAACGCTGACCCCCAATGTTTAAGGAACCCGATGCACGCACCTCGATGTTGTTGAACTGCTGCATGACTTCCCCGAATTGGTGATAGCAGTTCTGGCAGAGCGTCACAGGCCGGGCGCTCTGTATTAAGCAGCTAGCCAATCTTAGGCTGCTGTTGGCGAAGGCATTCAAGAGCTCCTTGCACTCTGGATCCAGCTGCGGCTCCTGCAAAAGCCCTAAGAACCCCGATTCAAGCGACGGCAGGTCCTCCAGGTCCAAGGGCCAAGCGCGGTGTCGGCCTCCCAAAACCATTTCTTCCAAACCTCTTTGCAGTAACAAACGTCGGCCGGGCAGAAGGCTCTCTTCGGCACATAGGCCCAGCAAGACGCCGGGCAGCAGCAGTAGAAAAGTGACCGAGCCCATAGCTGCCACCGCGGGCGAGGAAGATGACAAAGAAGCCGACCGCTTCCTAGTTCCGCGGCTGCCACGGACGGAGGGACACGATCACGTGCGGCCGAAGAACTACAGCATTAGCGGTCGGGAACTGGGTCCAGCGCGGCGTTTCATTGGCTCCTGAGGATTTGACGTTCTAGGAGCGGGGATGTCACCCGCCCGATTATGGGGGCGGAGTCTACCTACCAACCGATTTTGTTGCTACTGGCTCGCGCCGGTGTTTTCAAACGGGGGTTTAGGCAACAAATCGGTCGCATCGCGTGGATTTTTTAAATTTATTTTTTACTTTTAGTACATAAAAATGCCATCAGTTATCCATTATATGAATGTAAACTTCGAGGTGCATACTATTGCTTATTCTTCAGTTACCGTCATGCGTGTTTTGGAATATTTAGTTAGAAATAAATCCCACGGTTGGAAGTTTACATCGAGCGTGATAAATGCATTTTAGACCTGCTGGTTTGGATCGTATATATAACCTCTATGGCTTGTTTAATCGGGATTTATTGTCTGATTTTCTGAGCCATAAATCAATGACTGGATGTGAACAACACATACTAAAACAAGTCGTAGAGTAGTAAAGTGTGAACTCAGTCACACCAGATAGATTTTACGCTAAACCATTCTTTGTTCAACCAATGCTGAGCTCAAAAAACATGCTAATCCATAACCAAATAAACCCATGTTCTATTTTAATGCAACATAGGAATACAAACACACAATGCTAAGAATGTTTATATTTGCATAACATGCTTACATTATTCAGACATAATTTACTCAATCCAATTTTTTGGATTTCCATATAGCTGAACTATAAACTGACAATGAAACTGGTTTCTCACAACTCCTTAGAGACCAGCGGTCCTCAAACTTGGCCATTTTAAGACTTGTGGATTTCAACTCCCAGAATTCCCCAGCCAGCTGGGGAATTCTGGGAGTTGAAGTCCACAAGTCTTAAAGTCGCCAAGTTTGAAAATCCCTGCCTTAGACTAAAATTTGGTGACTAGTTTGTGATTCAAAAGTGAGACCTTAAGTGGGTTCCTACTGTAAGTGAAGTGGATTGTGAATTATTTTAAGGGATTAGGAAAATTAGGAAACTCTAAGAAATTATAGGTAGTTCTCAATTTACAACATTTCCGCTTAGTGACCAAAGTTACAACGGCACTGAAAAAAGTGACTTATGTCCATTTTTTGCACTTATGACCATTGCAGCAACGCCATGGGTATGTGATTTATATTCGGACGCTTAACAACTGAATCATATTTATGACGGTTGCAGTGTCCTGGGGTCATGTGATCACTTTTTGCAACCTTTTGACAAACAATGTCAATGGGGAAACCAGATTCATTTAACAGCCAAGTTACTAATTTAACAACTGCAGTGATTCACTTAACAAACATGGCAAGAAAAGTTGTAAAATGGGACAAAACTCATTTAACAAATTTCTCACTTAGTAACATAAATTTTGGGCATAAGTTGAGGACTGCCTGTACATTAATTTTAAATGGTGAAGCCAAATGTCAGGAGCTGAATTCAAACTCAATACTAAACTAGGAATGTTTGTGTGTGAGAGAGATTCATAATAGCCTGCTTTACACATTTCATCTAAGTCAAAATGATATAAATAACATCATTGCTTAATACAGCAAAGTGAACCTACCTGATGTATACATATAAGAATATTGTGTAAGGGAAAAACAAGGGAACAGGAAAAGACAATTAAAATAAAATAAAAAGTAAATATAATACAGTTGTTTTCTACCTATTGGAATTTTAAAAAATAATAAGGTTTATTGTAGAAAAGTTGGGCTAAAACAGCGGTCCCCAATTCCCGGGCATGTGAGTGCACACTGGCCTGATGCTCACGAGGCCAAATTCCTCTCAACCAGCTGGGCCAGCAAGCCACAAAGGTTGGGGACCACTGGGCTAAAAGACAACATCTTCAAATGCCTTGCAGATGTTTCCAAAAAACAAAATACTGATATTTCATTTATTTATGGGAATCTTTGTTCAATAAATATCTCTCAAAACAGAGATATTTTGCCAAGTATAAAAACAGCTGCATCTCTGATGCAAATTTGCCAAATACCAATACAAAATCCCTTTAGATTTTTAACAATTCTATTCTTGCAATGCAGAGAAGTTAATTGATTTATTTAATTTTTAAAAAATGATAAGAGATAACACCGGAGATGTCAAAGCAAAATATTTTAGGGCTGTACTTCATCCGCTTGGAATAGAAGGCTTTTGATTATTACCTATTCCATACAAGCTATCTGCACTGTAAGATTTTTTAATATTTTTTTCAAATTTATCCAATTTCAAAAATAAAGCTGATATCAATTAGTTAATCATTTGTTATTTTCTCATTCTGTTGACCAAAGTTTATCTCTTCATTGAGTCCTCTGTGCATCATGCATAGAGGATCTGTACCAGTGAGGAGGTTTTACTGTAATTTTTTTATAACTGCTATACATGTATAGCACAGCTATACATTTCCACTGCACACATTCTATTACAAAATACCTACTTTCCTCTAAGTTCCTTTCTATTGTTGCAGGACAGAAATCTATGAATCAAACTTGAGCACCTTGGGGCAGCTGCACTTAAGGATCAGGACCAAGATGGACAAGTTCAGTAACTAATGTAAGTTCAGCATAAAGTAACAGATTTTATTGGATTTCTGTTAACAGTCTTCATTCACCTATATATTCCTTCTTAGATGCATAACCCAGTATATTATTCAGCCACTACTCTGGGACTTGGAGATGTCATGTAATGAGGTGGATGATCTGGGTCAGAAATCCTTTAGTAAGCTTTGTGATTCCATCCTCATAGTATTTTTGTTATGGTTTCCTGTAGACGGCATGAAGTGTTCACAAATTTTGCCTCCCAGTATATACTTCCTCTTTCAATGGAAAATTATGCTAATTACAAACATGTACTCACCTAGACTATTTCTGTTATTCATCAATCTTTGAGTACTGCTTTTCTGCTATTGCTAAGTAGTTCTGGTCTTCCAAATGATCACACAGAGATCACTACGGCTTTTTTCTTTTTTCTTTTGGTTCTCAGGCAGTTGATAACATCAATTGTCAGAATACTTGCATCCTAAGGAAATTTATATGTCTGTCTGGCTCAAAACTGAAAAGAGTTTTCATCTTCTTTTCATAGATTCATTTCCTCTTCATCATTTTGCTTTCCATTAAAAAGAGAGTGAAGTGAGAAAAGGGAAGGCATGGGAGAATATTGGAAACTAAGAGCAGTGGGTTTCAACTAGTAATTTTCAAATAGTTCCCACTGTGGAAAGAAAAATCTTCATCGGGGTCCAGTCCTAGCCAGGAATAAATAAAATGGAGATTGCTTTAGAAAGAAGGTTGTAGTTTATTGAAGAGCAGAACTACAAGACATGAGGCTCTGGAGCAGCTGAACACATGTTACTGGGAGTGGCGGGTTTTTATACCTTCTTGGGCTTTTGTGTTTGGAGTTGTTCCTATAGCTCTGATGGATAAGAGAGAAATACATTGGATTAAAGCCCTCTCTAAGCAGAGTCAGCATATTGTTCCCAACAATCTAGGTCCTCATTTTACTGACCTCAGAAAGATGGAAGACTGAGGCAACCCTGAGCAGGTGAGAATCGAACTCCTGGAAGTGAGCTGAATTAGCCTGCAATACTGCATTCTAACCACTGCACCACCATGGCTCCTGGTGATACGTGATAGATTAGCAAATACACACAATGAGGATGACAGGATCACAAATGAATGCTATGTCTGATAATGAGTTGGCACATCTTTGCTCACTGAAGAATTCTTTCTGTTGATCTCTTTGTCCCAGGGGATAACTTTCCGTTGCCCTTGATTTTGCAGCAGTAGGATGTAATTCAAACTCCTTTGACAAAATCTTTCTTCACAACTGCAAAGTAGTTCCTATATTTATGGTCCCATCACCATTCCAATTTTTCACAGGATGTTTCAATACCAGCTGGACAGATAAAGAAAATCACATGGGAGCTGTGACACCTTTAGTTTTCAATGTTTCTTTGACTGTCCTTACCATCAGCTTCCAAAGTAATGGGAGCTGCTTTCTTAACACCACAGCCAAGTATACATCCTCGGCAAACTTGTCTCTTTGTCTCATGGATTGGTTTCTCTGTCTCATGAACTCTTCTTAGAAAAGGTAGCAGTTACATTTTTTTTATGGTAAAGTATGAGCTCATTCCTCAGTTTTTGTTGTGACTAGTGTTGAGCCTGACACAACAGTAAGTTTTCCAGTTGTTGCTCTTGAAATCTTGCCCTTTTTAAAGTCTTCCTGAAGCCAACAATCTTCTGTTTTTGTTGTGTGCCAAAGCTACCCACATGTTAGTCCTGCCCTTCTGTCTGCAATATCCTCAGGAAGAATTAGCATAGTTTCATCCAATTCTGCTAGAAAACAGAATAATTGGCACTGACATTGATTTTCCATTTAGTAAAACTTTAGAAAAGGATGCAAATATTTGGATCTAAATTTAGCACAATCAGAACAGGATACCAAGTTCATGCTGTCTCTTTTTCCTAGGTTAAAGCATGTTTGAAGCATTTTTGCTGGGCACAACCATATTTTATCATAAAAAGCTGGGTGTATTTATATGACCAACATTTTATCTGCTTAAAAGCATGTGATTGTTATGAACGGCATCTTTTCTAATATGCTTATTTCCATGACTATGGAAGTAAAATGGCAGATGAGCCCATAGCACTTTCAAAAATAACTCAGAAATATGTTTGTGAACATAAATTATTGTTTAAAACTGTGCTGTTTAAACTTACATTGGTCAAAGACTAGTATTCTTTTTTACTTTCAGGAGTCAGTCATAATCTGACATTCCTTTATTCCTTTTTCCAACACTATTTTTAGTCTGTTTGGAAGGATCATTTCATTCTATTGTCCCAAAAGATACTGAATATAACCATTTTCTTTCATTTTGTAGCGAACAGCACAATTATGGTTTAATTAGAACCACATGAGTAAAGAAACCGGGAACTTCTCGGTATCCTCAGAAATGA